TTAACCCCAAATCTGCTATTAAAATTTTCGACAGCATAATTTGCCCCATTCTTCTGTACAATGCAGAAGTTTGGGGTGTATATATCAAAAACGATTTTATCAATTGGGATAAACTGCCGGTTGAAAAAGTACACCTAAAATTCTGTAAGCTCTACCTAGGCGTTGGCAGAAAGACGAGTAATATCGCCTCAAGAAGCGAACTTGGAAAATATCCATTAATTATCAATGTATTCAAAAGAATCTTCAAGTACGTCACTCATCTTAATTCACTTCCTGAAACAACCATTTCAAAACAAGCTTTCCTCATATCAAAAGATTTATTTATTAAAAAGAGCAATTCTTTCTATGGAAAAGCAATGGATATAGTGAAAACCTTGAATTGTAATAGAGCAATCCCTGACCTAGATTCACTTACAACCAATCTAGTTGAATCATGCGTTAAAGATACTAAAGAAAACTACCAGAGATTCTGGAGACATAAACTTGAAAACTCATCCAAACTTACCTTCTACACAAGCATAAAGGAAGACTATGAGCTTGAAACTTATTTGACTACCATAACTAATTCAAACCAAAGAAAACATTTAACACAGCTCCGACTAAGTAACCATAAACTAATGATTGAACTCGGTAGATACGAAAACATTCCGCGAGAAGACCGAATATGCAAGGTCTGCCAGGCAGGAGAAATTGAAACGGAACATCACTTCCTAACATCCTGTGAAGCCTATAGTAGTCTCTGAGAAAACTTTTTAAATGACTTGGAAAGTGATCCCACCAATGAAACAGATTTAAACGAACACAGTTTATCAGTTGAGATAATGAAATCAACTGATAAAGAAACCGTGATAAAATTATCAAAATTTATCTCTTTATGTTTTGAGAAGAGATCTAAATGCCTTGAAGCTCGGAATGCTGACAGTCAATAGGCTATCGAACTAACTCCCAATCTTCTTCAATTACATATACTGTATACTGTAAATAGAGTATTCATTTGTTAACTATGCCTTTCTTTATATCAATAACTTCATTTTTATTTCTTGTATTACTCACAGTGTCATATTACCACAGAACATTTTGCATTTGTAACTATTTATAATTAACTAATAAGCTTTAGCAATACTTGTATGTGAAGTCATGCTAATAAAGCCATTTGTTACTGTTACTGTTACTGATATTACGGAATAGTTCAGTTTTGGATATTTCCAACATTAACAAATTTAAAATGGCCAAAAACGAAAAAAGTCTCATTACTTTTGCACGCGATTGTAGGCCTTTAATTATATGAGACCACCTACTTTCACCTATAACCTGCGAACAGGCATGCTCTGGTTATGTAATTGAAATTTAATAATTTTTCTGACATCTGATATGGATGATGTTAACCGGTTGAAATACATCCTAGTTAAACTTTCAAACTTGCATTAATTTTTTAGATAAAAATAAAAAATAATTGTGTGAAGCAAAATTCCCGCCCAACGTGGGGCTCGAACCCACGACCCTGAGATTAAGAGTCTCATGCTCTACCGACTGAGCTAGCCGGGCAGTCGGGCTCAGATTGGCAAAATTACTCTTATAAAGTTTTAACCATTTTATAACACTCAGTTTAGAGTTTAGACTGATTTACCCACACATACCGAGTATGGCTCGCCAACATAGCTATAAAAAATATTTGTTGGCCCAACATCGCTGAACGGCATGACCCTGAATTATTATCACTGGTCGATCGAAATTTGCGAAATTTCTATATCGTGTTTAAACCATTATTCCAATATTCAATCGAGTGAGATGTCAACAAAATCTTGATATTTACCTCGATATATATTGACCCAATTTTAACATGGCAGTGGCCAGAGCTCAACAACTGGAATCACTTGGGAGCCACCTTAAGTCCACTCAGTGAATCCACTGATCTCGAAATGCAAAGAATTTGATCACGTGAACGATAATGAATATTTTCCCACATTTATATTTATTGAAATATTCGTCGGGAAACACTGAAGAGAACGATTTTAAGCGTTGTAAATCTTTCTTTCTGTGTACATATTCCCGATTTAGTTCTCAAATATGGCTCTACAGACAGAAGCAGCACCATTAACATTGGCTAGAGGTTTGTAATTAATCTAGATACACTGTATTTTGATTGTATAAATTTTTACCTAATTCAGAGTGTATATATAAAGCCTTAGACTTTGTAAATAGATAAATATGGTTCTTGTTTCTCAACGACTTTTGGTCTTCGGATTACTTTTGCTTGATTTTATATCGTATTGATCTTGTTTCTTTGTAGACATCATAAAGTGTTTTTAGAAACATCCAAAATACTGCCACATTTGTAGCATTTTCATCACATCAATGATCTGTCAACATGATGTTTGTGGTCTGAGTGTGCATTATATATATATCTGAGTTCAATATAATCACAGAGTAGAGACATACAGAGACGTAACTAGTGTACCCACTTTTTTTGTGCGCCTCGGCAAGTTACTAGATGCATGCATCTGATTGGATAACGACCTGATGACGACTCACTTTAAACTTGGTGAGCATGCGCAGTTGATAATTTTTCGCCCGGTTGCCTGAAAAAAGTGGGTACATGATAACGTAATCTTCCGCAATGTTTACAACGGTCAGTTACGTCTCTGTATGTCTTATCTACTCTGTGATATAATTCTGAAAACTTGGTCTGACATTGTGTCAGACCAACCCATGTTTTGATCGGACACTTAATTATTCTCAAGAGGGACATTGTCAGTTGTCACAGTACTAAAATATCTTGAAAATCATTCTAAACCTTTTTATATAAAGCATACAGAGCTTATACATCGACAATGAAATGCAAAACTCAAAGTTGTAAACAATTTGAACTTCGTCACCATGTGACATAAAACTGACATGTCAGCTTGCCCGGTGTGGATGCACACTCAGAGTAACACCACAAACATCATATTCACCTGAGTACATAATGCCAACACAGAACACTCACAAAAAAAGGATATGTTAATAATTTGCAAACTTTGAATACATTTCTCCTTTATGAGTCAAATCACCTGGCGTTACACAGAGAAAAATTACAAATCAGACTGCATTGCGGCTTAAGGCTTGTTACACAAGGAAATTTTTGCACTGCAACTTGCAATGGAATTCCAGATACAGAGCCAGCCCTTGAAAACAAGTCTATCAACCTCCCAGCCCTCTAAAAATTGCCACGGTACCATATTTTTCCAAAATATTTTTCCCAAAAAATTTTTCCGGACCCAACCAGTTAAATTGAGGTTCAAAAAAAATTTTCCGTACAAATTCCTGTCAAAACATGAGCAAAACCCGATTTTTACTTTTCACCAAAATCTGTAAAATTTAGGTCTGGAAATTTTAGGTCTGGCTTTTTTAGCAATTTTCAGATTAATAGTTAACCACAATTTCAAATTACCACAATCGTCCAAAAATGATGAAAAATTACCACGGTAGTATGAAATTACCACATCTGGTCACACTGGCAGCAACCCCTCGCATGTATTTTTGTATTTTCCAAACATTGATTTAACGTGAAGTATTAGTAATTGATCAACACTGAGCGCAGGCTCATTTACATACACAATAAATTTGATTTTTGTACAACACGCCAAAAGTAGTTGAAAGATTATTGCTTTTAACTATATACAGTAACAATGAATTTCCAAAATATGTGATTTAATGTAAAATTTAACCTGAATTGCTTCGTAAAATGTTTTGAAATGTTCATTTAATATTACTGTCGTTCCAATTGAAGTGTTCCTCAAATATTTATTCAATACATTACCTCGGGCTGACCAATTCATTTCACCAAGTTCCTCGAAATATTCATACACTTCCGAGTATAATTGTAAACTTCCTGTTGAATAGTTTGAATGCACCAATCACCTTTGTTGTTTGTGCAACTAACCAATCATAAATAGAAAGGAAGTGACCAGAAATGATCAAATTCTTGGAATTGGCTCTTTCACAG